CAGTGGCATTGTGACTTTGAACAGTCAGTAAATGAATGGTTGTAAGTGGAAGATTACCTATAGCACACTCTCATGCAGGCAGAGGTTTTACGTAAGCCAGTCCAGATCAATGTGTAGATCAGGGGTGCCAAAATCAAGGCCCGTGGGCCACATCTGGCCCGCCGGGTGCTTAGATCTGGCCCGCAGGGCAACTCTGGAAACAGTGAAGGAACGGTCCGTGGTGCCTCTCTCAGCGAAAATGGAGTTCCGTTTTCGCTGGCAGAGAGTTGCAGGAGGCTGTCGCAGCCGAAAACAGAGCTCGGGAGCCCATTTTCACTGGTTTGCTCAGGCCACCACAGGTGCTCCCTCCAACATGAGTGATGTCATTCTGCCCACGCCCACCTTGGCCACCCCCACCCCCCCCAAGATCAAACACAACCCTGATGAAGCCCTCAAAGAAATAGAGTTTGACGCCCCTGGTGTAGTTCTAGCAAGCATATTTGGCATTGCAGAAACGGGTGATGAGTTCACGGCTCACGCAAACAGCCACCGAGACCACAGACGTGGCACACATATAAGGAGAAGTCACAGTGGGCAGCTGTTCCCTACCAAAGGCAAGGGTGCTCCCCAGCATCCCTCCCCATCTTCTCCCCCCTTCCTGTGCCCCAGCTTGGTTTTATCTTTGGTCTTAGTGGTAGATGAGTACGTTTCCAGACCAATCTCTGGCAACCTGTAGCTTTATGGACCTTCATGCAGAATCCAGAGGTGTCCCTGTAATTGAAGGCTAGTCTGGTGCTTTGCTTTGTATCATGCCAACTTTTATTTATTTTTCTTAATGAAAAGAATGTTCACAGCAATAAAGTTAGGTGGAGCAGGAATCCCAGAACGGAGTCACCCTTGAGTTATGCTGACTCGTAATCTGCCTCTTGTGTGCAAGTCCTAAAAAAGAAAAGGAGTGTTATATTAACTAATAACCACTTTTAGATGTCACCACAAAGAGTCCACCCAGTTTAGCAATATTCTTTCCGAAGTTTGCTCGTGTAATGTCTGAATCACAACTCTGAATCATTTTAACTGACCACCTTTTACAAACTCAGCCTGTGGCTAATTTAAGCTTCCGTGTCTTGTGCAAATGTAGAAAAGTGGATTCTTTCCGTAAAACCGTGGTCAAGTTAATCATGAGTAAACATGTCATGCAAAGGTCTATTGAGAGCCATGGTTATCCCAAAGGTGTGTTGTTTTTTTTACCAAAAGGCGACTGGACTTTCTTATTTTGTTGTCTTTAAAAACGTTTCACTTCTCATCCAAGAAGCTTCTTCAGTTCTGGAGAAGAAGTGAAGTGTGTTCAAAGAAAAAAACAACCAAGAAAATCTAGTTGCCTTTTGGGAAAAAAGCACCTTTGGCACATATCATGCAAACACAGTCCATAAAAGATCTTCAAATAGCTGCAAATCAACAGAGGTTCCTGGTACACCTCTCCAGAGAACGTCCGTCCAAAATTACAGGAAGGATATATTTACAGGTTGTTGTTGTTAGTTGCGAAGTCGTGTCTGACCCATCACGACCCCATGGACAATGTTCTTCCAGGCCTTCCTGTCCTCTACCATCCTCTGGAGTCCATTTAAGCTCACGCCTATTACTTCGGTAACTCCATCCAGTCACCTCATTCTCTATCGTTCCCTGCTTCTTTTGCCTTCAATCTTTCCCAGCATGAGGCTCTTCTCCCCCGAGTCCTTCCTTCTCATTAGGTGGCCAAAGTCTTTGAGTTTCCTCTTCAGGCCTTCTGGCCTTCTAAAGAGCAGTCATGGTTGATCTCCTCTAGGACTGACCGGTTTGATCACCTTGCGGTCCAAGGGACTCCCAGGAGTCTTCTCCAGCACCATAGTTCAAAGGCCTCCATTCTTTGGTGCTCAGCCTTTCTTATGGTCAAACTTTCACAGCCATCCATTGCAACTGGGAAAACCATAACTGAAAACCATATTTACAGGTAGTTCTCCATTTATGAACAGAATTGGGACAAGAATTTCCATTGCTAAGATATGCAATCGTAAAGCATGACACCATATGACCGCATCACTTAGTGATGACAATCCTTGTATTTCCCAGCCCTGAGCCTTGGTTACGGGTTGGATGCGAAGAATCAAGCTCCCCTATTAAGTTCCAGTTAAAATGATTTATTGCTCATGCCTATACAGGCAACAGGGATGTGGTGGCTTAGTGGCTAAGACGCTGAGCTTGTCGATCAGAAAGGTCGGCAGTTTGGTGGTTTGAATCCCTTGCACAGCATAATGGAGTGAGCTCCCATTACTTATCCCAGCTTCTGTCAATCTAGCAGTTCGAAAGCATGTTAAAAAATGCAAGTAAAAAAATAGGAACCACCTTTTGTAGGAAGATAATAGTGTTTCGTGTGCCTTCGGCGTTTAGTCATGTTGGCCACATGACCATGGAGATGTCTTTGGACAGCGCTGGCTCTTCGGTTTTGAAAGGGAGATTAGCACCGCCCCCTAGAGTTGGGAACAACTAGCACATATGTGCGAGGGGAACCTTTACCTTTTATATAGGTAGTTCTTGAATTACAACCAGGATCAATCCCCAAATTTCCATTGCTAAGTAAGACGGGGGTGTGGTTTGCCCTGTTTTACAACTTTTCTTGCCACAATTGTTTAACAAGTCACTGCTTGCTCTTGTTAAACATGAGTAGCATGGTGGTTAAGTGAATCTGGATTTCCAATTGACTTTACTTGTCAGATGTAACCTTGGGACACGGCAACTGTCATAATATGAACCAGTTGTCAAGCACCTGAATTTTTATCGTGTGATGGTGGGGATGGTGCAATGGTCAGAAGTATGAGAGTAGTTGTGTCTCTTTTTTCAGTGCCATTATAACTTTGAATGTCCATTAAATGACTGGTAGTAAGTCAAGGCGTACCTGTACACAAGAATCTAATACTAATGGCCATGGCTAAATTGACAGTAGACAAGCGTTAATGGAATTCAAGAGGGGACGGATTTAGACCATTTATAGCAGAGGCGTCAAACTCAAGGCCCATGGGCCGGATGTGGCCCGCAGGGTGCTTAGATCTGGCCAGTGGGGCTGCCCTGGAAACAGTAAAGGACCAGCCCACGGTGCCTATGCCAGCAAAGCACAGCCAGGGGGACCATGCACAGAGGACTGCAGGAAGCCGTTCTGGCTGAAAATGGAGCTTGGGAGCCTGTTTTTGCTGGCAGAGCACCTGGGCCACCACAGGTGCCCCCTGACAGAAGTGGTGTCAAGCTGGCCATGCCCACCCTCGCCACATGGACAAATGCAGAGAGGGAGAGGGAGGGAGAGGGAGAGGGAGAGGGAGGGAGAGAGAGAGAGAGAGAGAGAGCGAGAGAGAGAGAGAGAGAGCAACACAACCCTAATGCTGTCTTCAGTGAAATTGAGTTTGACACCCCTGATTTATAGGAACGCTAATGACTCCAGGCTGATTCCTGTCTTGACTCTGCCTCCAGGTTCTGCCTGTCCTTCTGCTGTATAAGCTAAAGGATGCTCCCTCCTTGCCTATCTCTCCCCATCTCGGCCCTTTTGGCTGCTCTGCACACTGCCTTATGGAATGGCAAAC